CCCTCTCCCTGACTGTCTTCCACCAACAGCACATTTTTGACCCACTGCACTCTCCTCACTAGCAAGAAACAGGAACTGAGGGTGCAGGCGGAGTGAGACTGAAACTGAATCTAGTTTTGTAACTGCCGCGCTTGCGGCGGGAGGAATTTCAAAGGTTTCTACAAATCCTCAACCATGGGGTATGGGCTCTCTAAAGAACAAGAGCAATGTTTTAAACTAATTCGGCTTTTTAGGGCTGTTAAATGTTCCCTGATAAGGGATCTTTAGATTTGGAAATAAGGGGAAAAGCAGGACAGAGAGGTCCTCATAGTCAGGAAAGCTTAGACAAAAAGAGAAGGGGCCTGTGGGATGGTGGCTGTGGAGTCTCTAGGTGCCTGTCAGACCCTTCCTGTGAGTTGCCCCAGCTGCAGTGAGCATCACAGCTGCGGCTAGTGAGCCCAGCCGGGGCACCGGTTTCTGGTGTGCCTGCGTTGGCAGCACGGTGGGGCCTGGTCTTTCTGCCAAGAACCGGCAGCAGTGGAAGGCAGAGTTGGTCCTCCTCACCGCGCCCCCCCCACCACTTAAATGGACAGATAGGTGCAGAGATGCAGTGTGACAGAGAGGCAGCAGCAGCAGAACAAGTGGTCTCACATTCGTGTGGTGGATAACAATCGGGAGGGATACTTTGAGAGGAAGCAATCCCAGGACAGGCCAGACCGCACAGCACAGGGTTCCAGCACCAGGAAGATAAATGCCCATAACTTCTGGCTGTAAAATTCAGTAGGGGTTGGGGTGGTGGAAGAAACTATCGGATTTTCAGGACACTCAGCTGAAAGGGACTGCATGGACTTAAAATATATGCAGATACACACTCTCTGGGATTCAGCACAATGGCAATAGCTACAAGGGCACCAGTCACACAGGGAAACTGACAGGGAAACCTCCAGAAGCCAGGCAGCAGCACTGTCCCCTCTCTGGCCCGTCCCCCACCAGAGCCACAAAACTGTGAAGCAGGTTGCCTTCCGACACCCGGAAATTACCTAAGGCTCTGCCCCACACAATTTATAGGTGCCTTTTCTACAATAGGCCATACTACTCAGACAGGGAGTCAAAGCAGCTATACCTAACACATAGAGACAAAGAAATATGGCCCACACGAAAAAAAACAGAACAAAGCCTTAAAAAAAAAACAACAACAACCCACAACTAAGTGAAACGGAGATAACCAACCTATAGGATGCAGAGTTCAAAACACTGGTGATCAGGATGCTCAAAATACTCATCTGAGTATGGCAACAAAATAAAAAGACCCAGGAAGAAATGTTACCTAAGTAAACACTTTACATATGTTACATAAGTGAAATCTACAGGAAACCAACAGTGGAGGGGATGAAGCTGGGATTCAAATCAACAATTTGGAACATAAGGAAGAAATAAGCATTCAACCAGAACAGCAAGGAAAGAAAATTAAAAAAAAAAAACCAAAAAAACAAGGATAGGATAAGGTGCCTTATCCTATCCTTGGGACATTTCCAAATGTACTAACATCTGAATAGGGATACCAGAAGGAGAAGAGGAAAAGCAAGAAATTGAAAACTTATTTGAAAAAATAATGGTAGAAAACTTCCCTAATTTGGTGAAGGAAATAGACATACATGTATACAAGTCCAGGAAGCACAGAGAGTTGCAAACAAGTTAGACCCAAAGAGGACCACACTGAGACACACTGTAACTAAAATGTAAAGATAATTACTTTAGTAATTCAAAGTTTAAAGATAAGAAAGAATCCTAAAAGCAGCAAGAGAAAAGCAGAGAGTTACCTCCAAAGGAGTTCCCATAAGACTATCAGCTGATTTCTCTAAAGAAACCTTGCAGGCAAGAAGGGATTGGCAAGAAGTATTCAAAGTGATGAAAAGCAGGGCCCTACAACCTAGATTACTATAACCAGCAAAGCTATCACTTAAAATGGAAGGACAGATGAAGTACTTCCCAGACAAGGTAAAGCTAAAGGAGTTTATCATCACCTAGGCATTATTATATGAAATGTTAAAGGGACTTATTAAGAAAAAGATCACAACTATGAACATTAAAATGACAACAAATTCACAACTATGAACAACTGAATTTAAAAAACAAACTAGGCAAACAACCAGAACAGGAACAGAATGACAGAAATGGAAATCACATGGAGGGTTATCAGTAAGGAGGGGGAAGGGGGAGAATGGGGGGAAAGGTTATGGATCAAGAAGCATAATTGGTAGGCACAAAAGAAGACCGGGGGGGGGGGAGTGTGTGTGTGTTAAGAACAGTGTAGCAAATGGAGAAGCCAAAGAACTTATATGTATGACCCATGGACATGAACTAAGGTGGGGAGGGGGCATTGCTGGATGGAATGTGGGTACCGGGAAGAGGAGGGTGAAGGGGAAAAAATTGGGACAACTGTAATAGCATAATCAATAAAATATATTTTAAAAATTATGTGGGCAATGAAAAGCCTAAGAAACATATAGACCCTGATCTTCTTTAAATGGGGCATTCTTTACGCATACCGCTTGGGACAGCAACTCAATAATGGTGCGGCAACTTGAGAGCCTACTAGCAATTATTTCAAAATGAAATACTGATGGGCTCTGGGTAACAAATCAAGAACATGAGTCCCCACTGCCAGTCTGTGATGAAACAGCCAAGAAATCAATACAATGATTCACACAGTTTAAAAAATATATCGTTCTGTGCTTCAAAACACCTACTGGCTCCCCTCAGAACCCCCGGGGTTCCGTGAACAAGACTAAGAACCTCCATCCACTCCGCAAAAATCTGGGTCTAAGTCCTGAGTAGCCAGTGCCTCTTCCACCGCTCACATTCCTTTCTGCTCATCATTTAGGCATCTCCAAAGAAGAAAGCATTCCTCCTTCCAAGTAATCTCCTTAGCTGTGCACGTGTGCTGACTGGCGTGTCTCCGCTGTTCCCTAAACGATGTTATCCGGGCTTCCAGGGAGATCGGGAGGAAGCTCTGCAGGGGCCACCTCTCCCGCATTCCAATAAGCCTAACTGCTCAGGTGCGCGCTCCCGAACCCCAGGGAGGCAGGCAGGGCATTAGACATCCTGCAAGTTCAAAGACTCGGGAAGCCTGTTAGCATCCGGTTGGGTCACATGAACGAAGGAGAGCAGTGCTCCTTCAAGTCTGCGGTCTAGCGAAGCAGCTGAACCTAGGAGCTTAGTGAAAATGCAAAGTCTTGAAACTTCCTGCTGGCTGGGGCCCGGCGATGCGGGGACTTTGACAAGTCCCCCAGACTGCGATACACTTCACACTTTGAGAAGGACTGAGTTAATTAGAGTGTTCACAAACAGAAACCACTAGATCCAGCCCAGCAGTCTCTAGCAGAGTGGGAAGGTGTGTCCTGGTCCCAAAGCCTGAGGACAGAGAGCAGAAAGGGTGCCCCCTTGAGGGTAGGGAGAGCACCAACCTTCACCGGAGTGAGGGGGCCTCTGGCAACCAGCCAAGGGCTCATCCTGAATCTGCACAATCGGTGCCGCTACACAAATGCCAGCCCCCAAAAACCCGTGTGGGTTACGAGCACCCCCCTTCTCTAGTACAAAGATTCATATGATTTCTTTTCTTCTTCGATACTGATAAAATCCCGAGTTCTGAGTTGTAGCCTCCTTTAGCGAGCTACACGAATCTTTGAGATCCTCACCAAACCACCTGCGGCATCATTTTAAGTAATTCAGACAAACCAGAGCGCTCCCGGACTGGTGCCGCCCGAAGGAACCAGAGCTGTGAATGGAGACAAGTGCAGGCGTCAGCGTGGGGGCAGCGGCAAGGCACACCAGGAGGACAGCGCAGGAGGCAGGGTGGAATGCGGGGTGACTCAGAGATGGTGCTGAGTCTGGAAAAGGCCCTTCCTTCTAGCTTCCCAGCTAGGGGCTTTAGATCTTTGCAGCAGAGGAGAAAGAACTACAGCTTTACCTCCTGCGTGTGTCCGCCCAGGCTGGGGAGGTCCTGTAACATCAACAGAAGGCCCACGACAGACTTCTGGCGCCAATTTCAGAACTGGGGGTCAGCCAAGTGGAAAGGAAAGCCTGCAGGAGGTGGTAAGATGATGGAAGTGTGCGGAAAAAGAGGGCGAAGAGTCAGGTGAAATGGAAAGAAGAAAGGGGTGAGGCTGATTTGCTCTTCCTCCTGCACCCCAACTGCTGAGTGCTGCTGGCTCCTTCAGGTCATTTGCTTTTTAAAAAAGATTTTAGCTATTTATTTTTAGAGAGGGGGAGGGAGGGAGAAAAAGAGGGACAGAAACATCAATGTGTGATTGCCTCTCCCACACCACCCACCAGTGTCCTGGCCCACAACCCAGGGATGTTCCCTAGACTGGGAATCGAACTGGCGAGCCTTTGGTTCACAGGCAGGCACTCAGTCCACTGCGCCACGCCAGCCAGGGCTAAGTCATTTGTTTATAGGCCCTAACGAAGTCAGAGCAGTAGTGACACTCTCAGTCTCCACTGGCAGCTGTGGCTAATTAGAATCGGGCAAGAATCAGACTGCTGAGAAGAAAATTATAAAAACAAAATATTTATTATTTTTTCTGAAAAAGACAGGGAAAGGAAACAGTGCCCAAGAGAAGGATGTTCACAAGCAAAGCCTGTGCTTTTTGCCGTGTCTCCTCTACGTAAACCCCTTTGGCCAAAGAAAATTCACGCAAGCTAGAACTGGTTTTTGAGAGCAAGGTTTAATTCTGACCCAAGATTATAATAGGTTTTTAAAGTTCTACTGATTATGTCATGCTGTGTAGGAATTACTCAGATCTTCTCCCCTTCCCTTCTGAAAAACCAAGCTGGCTAACCATACCTGGATTGAGCTGAGGGAGTAAAATGCATTTCTTTATCACTAACTACCACAGAAAAGCCTGCATCTCAAGTTGCCTTCAGTAAAGTCCATTGGGCTTCCAATGGTTGTATTATCCTGATTTCTCTTCCCCAAGGTCTGTCCTTGGTAATGGAGCCAGACTGTGAAACACCACCGCTCAAGTCTTGCTTTTCCCTTTCTTTGACTTGGGAGCACCCGGCCAGTGGAAGCCCCGCAGGTGCAGGCAGTCGGCCACGTTGTGGGCGATGTAGTACAGGTTCAGCATGGCCGCGGGGCTGAGGATGTCCACTTCCGGTTTCTTCAGCTTCTTCCCGGGAGCCTTGTCCTTGCCTTTCTTTCTTTTCCCTTTCCCTGGCTTTCAAAGACAAATACATATATACAGGGCAAAAGTTAGTTTTTATCTCCTTGACGTAATTTGCAACATACCCTTATTGAACTTAAGAAATAATAAATGCCTAAAAGGAAAAAACTGTAACAAAAAAAACTTTTGCATGGAGTGGGAAGAGAAAACACATGGCAGGAAACTGAACAAATGTATGTTAAGCATCCCTAGGGGAAAAGGGACTCGACCTAATGCAATGTCTAGGCCTTCTTTGCATTCTGACTGGAACAAACAATTTCTAAAAAGGCACTTTGTAGGCAATTAGGGGAATCTGATAATATCAAGGGATTATTAATTCTGTTAGGTCTGATAATGGCATTGGGAAAACATGTTTATGCATTTCAGAGAGGCACACTAAAATCTGTTGGAATGAAATAAAACAAGGCCTGAGATTTGTTTTAAAACACTGCAGCTTCCACCACTGTTCCTGTCCCCCCAAAAAGGACAGATGAAGCAAATGTGGCAAAATCCTGACAGTTTCTAAATCTGGTAAATAAATATATGGGGGTTCATTTTACTATTCTATTCTAGAGAGTTCCAAAGAAGTTGGACTCAAGGAGGCACACACCAAGGCACATCATGATTAAGTTGCCCAAGATTAAAGATCAGGAGAGAATCTTAAAAGCAGCAAGATAAAGGGAGACACTTACCCACAAAGGAGTTCCCATAAGGCTATCAGCTGATTTCTCAAAAGAAACCTTGCAGGCAAGAAGGGGCTGGAAAGAAGTATTCCAAGTCATGAAAGAAAAGGACCTACATCCAAGATTACTCTATCCAGCAAAGCTTTCATTTAGAATGGAAGGGCAGATAAAGTGCTTCCCAGATAAGGTCAAATTCAAGGAGTTCATCATCACCAAGACCTTATTATAGGAAATGTTAAAGGGATTTATCTAAGAAAAAGATGATGACCAAATATATGAACAGTAAAATGACAACAAACTCACAACTATCTACAACTGAACCTAAAAAACAAACAAACAAACAAACAAAACTTAGTAAACAACTAGAACAGGAACAGAATCACATAAATAGACATCACATGGAGGGGTTATCAGTGGGGAGGGAGAGGGGGAGAATGGGGGGAAAGGTACAAGGAATAAGAAACATAAATGGTAGGTAGAAAATAGACAGGGGGAGGTTAAGAATAGTACAGGAAATGGAGAAGCCAAAGAACTTTATATGTATGACCCATGGTCATGAACTAAGATGGGGGAATGCTGTTGGGAGGGGGTACAGGACGGAGGGGAATAAAGGGGAGAAAAAGATGGGACAACTTTAATAGCATAATCAATAAAATATACTTTAATAAAATAAAGTGCAAAAAAAAAGATTTAGGGCAATGGCTTTTTAAAGTGACTTCAAACATTTTTTTTTCACGTCAACCATAACTGCAAAAAATGTGTTTTGATCTCTAGAAAGGTTTGAAAACTAAAATTCACAGAAAAAGTTTGACATTTTTTCCAAAGTTTTCATCTTTGTGTAGAAACTGGCAAACTGATTCTAAAATTCATATGGAAATTCAAAGGACATGACACAGAGGGTTGACATTTTTATTCAAAGTTCTCACCTTTTTGTAGAAGATTCTAAAATTGATACGGAAATTCAAAGGACTTTGAAAAAGAAGAACAAAGTTGAAGGACTAATACTCTTTATTTCAAGAATTATTATTTTTTTAAAAGAGAATTACAGTAAAGCGCCAGCAGCCGGGCAGCATGGCGCTGGCGACAGGGCCGACCCCAGACCAGCGGAACACAGCGCAGGCGGGAAGCAGATCCACACGCAGAGGAACCGCCGGCGACATCCAACAAAACTGCCGAAGCAGTTCGGCGAAGGGAGGGTAACCTTTTTAACAAGTGCAGATGGAATACTAAATATCCACTTGCAAAAAAAAAAAAAAAAAAGAACCATACTTGCTCCATGTACAAAAGTTAATTCGAAATGGCTCATAGAACGAAATATAAAACCAGAAACTAAAACCTAAAAACTAAACCTCTAGAAGAAAACATAGGAGAAAACCTTTGTGACCTTGGGTTAGGCCAAGACTTCTTGGCTATGACAGCAAAGCACAAGCTGAGAAAGAACAAACTGATATGATAATCATCAAAATGAAACACTCCCACTCTTCACAAGATATTGTTAAGCAAACGAGAAGCCAAGCCACAGACTGGGAGAAACATCTGTGACTCACGATTGTGATCAAGGCCTTCCACCCAAAATAAAGGACTCTCAGAACATAGTAAGAAAACTACCCAACGTAAAACACGGTCAAAAGACTTGGACACTTCCCCAAAGAAGATATTGAAGTGGGCAGGAAGCATACGAAAGACACACACATCAAATCATTTGGGAAATGAAAGTAAAATGCTCTGAGACACCAGCACACGCGAATTAGAACGTCTCGGGTTACAAAGACTGACCACAGCAAGTGCTGGTGAGGGTGTGGAGGGGCTGGAACTTTTCTGCACTTCTGGGGGAAATCGGAAGTGACAGAGCCACTTTGGAAAAACAATTTGGCAGTTCCTTGAAAAGGTTACACACATACCTACCCGGTGATCCAGCCATTCCACTCCTAGGTACTTCCCACGAGAAATGAAAGCATATGTTCATTCAAGAACTTGTACATGAATGTTCATAGCAGCTTTATTTGTAATAGTTAAAAACTGGAAACAAGCCCTGGCTGGTGTGGCTAAGTGGACTGGGTCCTGGCCTGTGAACCAAAGGATGGCCAGTTTGATTCCCAGTCAGGGTGCATGCCTGGGTTGCCAGCCAGGTTCCCAGTGGCAGGTGCATGAGAGGCAAACACACAGTGATGTTCCTATCCCTTTCTCCCTCCCTTCGCCTCTCTCTAAGACAGGTAGCAAGCAGATCAGAGGTTGCTTGGGGAGGGGGGATAGGAGGAGAAAAGGACTGATTACAAACAACCACAGGAAACTTTAGGGGTGATTGACATGTTGTGTCTCTCATTTTTCTTAAAGATTTTATTTTTTAGAGAGAAGAAGGGAGGGAGAAAGAGGGAGAGAAACATCAGTGTGTGGTTGTCTCTCACATGCCCCCTACTGGGGACCTTGCCTGCAACCCAGGCATGTGCCCTGACTGGGAATCGAACTGGCAACCCTTCGGTTTGCAGGCTGGCACTCAATCCACTGAACCACACCAGCCAGGGCTCTCTCTTTTTTTTAATCCTCACCCTCATCTGAAGATATGTTTATTGATTTTTTCTCTTTTTTTTAGACAGGGAGAAACATCGATCAGTTGCCTCCCCTATATCCCCCAGCCTTTGGTGTTCAGGATGACACACCAACTGACCCAGGGACCCAACTAGGGTTGACGTGTTATCTTGATTGTAGTGACGGTTTAATGGGAACACAATGATACCAAACTTTTCAAACTGTACATTTTAAATATGTGCAACTTATTATACCTCAATATATGTTAATAAATTATTAAAAGTGAATGAAAAATTTCAGTCTCTGAGCTGGTTGGGTTGGTTCAATACAACACCATGGCTCTTGGCTATTCCTGGTCTCAGAACTCACAGCTCCCCACGTGAAACTCTCCAAACCCCTCAATGAGGACCACACAGCTGTAACCACAGGGGCCTTCCTTCCGGTGTCCAAACTCGCCCAGCCCCTCCCCATCCCCACCTTTTCCTGAAGACCTTCACAGTGGGCATAATGTGTTTCTTGTCTTTCTGCTGGCCTCTGCTCACACGTCACCTCTTTAGAAATACCCCCCAGACACTGACTATATTCTATCTATAAAACTAGGGCAGCCATGTGATTTATTGCTTGAACCAGGATGCTTCAACAAATGTAAACTGGAATTGTCCCAGACAAAGGGAGGCAGGAGTACAGGTGGTCTGCAAACAACCCTCCTGGAAGTTTCACTTTTTTTGGCATTTTTTGTTGTTTTTATTTTATGAAAAAGGCACTTTCAAATCTCCATGAAACTTAGGTGAATATGAAGTCTTAGTGAAGCAGGCCTTGCAGCCTCATTTATAAGAATGTGGCTATGCTCTCCTGGCCTGAAAATCTCAGGACGGGCACTTCGGGTGGCTCTGTGTTTGCATGTTTCGGTGCCAGAGCACAGGGACAGACCCTAGAATCTGCTGGCAGATTCAGCTAGCTGCCTCTTCAGCTAGCAGGGCTTCAAGGCTCTTCATCGGGTCATTCTTTGGTAAGAAAATTACTTCCACAAATTCTCCATCTCCCGGCTGTGGCTTAGGTTTTACATCTTCAGTGTCTCCATTAGTAGTTATTGTCACGACGTGTGTGCTCCAGTCTGACAAACCTGGATCCAGACAGACAGCTGGAGAACATTTGGGTCACCTTTATAGCATCACCTTTATAGCCCATTTCTTACTCCAGCTCTCGCAGAGCAGCTGCTCCTGGGCTTTTGTTATCACTTATGAGATCTGCTGGGAATTCTAGGCAGTAGCCTCCCATGGGTGGTGGGCACTGTTTCACTAGAATGATACATTCAGAATAGAGAGTTCTTTGCAGCACTGGGATAATCGCTACACCATCAGCTGACTGTCCTTTCCTCCTTGTATGTTTCAGTTTCCGAAGTTCTTCTTTTACCAGTAGGACCCATGTAAGTCGGTTTTTCAAACTTGATCCATTTGCCTTCTGCCATTAACTCCTCTGAAATAATAAACTGGTTTTTCTTTCTTTCGTTCGTTCGTTCTTTCTTTCTTTCTTTCTTTTTAAAGATTATATTTATTTTAGAGAGAGGGTAAGTGAGGGAGAAAGAGAGGAAGAGAAACATCAATGTGTGGTTGCCTCTCATACGTCCCCAACTGGGGACCTGGCCCACAACCCAGGCATGTGCCCTGACTGGGAGTTGAACTGGCAATGCTTTGGTTTGAAGATTGGCACTCAATTCACTGAGTCAGATAAACTGTTTGGTTTCTTGAGAAGAATCTGCTGGTTTCTGGTGTTCCATTTTCAAACTGTTAGTATTTCCAGTCCTTAGGCAAGAAGTTCACACTTCTTGGGGCGGTGTGTGTCCAGGAGAGAGAGTGGAGACGTGTAGTTCTTAAAGCTCCCTGCTCTTCACTTAGGGATTCCATTCCCAAGGCCTGAACTCTGTGTGTGTGTGTGTGTGTGTGTGTGTCCCCGGTTTCATTTTCAGTCTCCTTACCCCAGGCACACTTCACTTAGTATTGTTTTATTTGTGTATTGATGGTATGTTCTCCTCACCAGCGGTTTGTCTGTAAGTTCACCACTGAACTCCCCAGGCCTAGACCAATGTCTGGCACATTGCAGAGATGAATAAATATTTGCTGAGCGAATAAATTATAACTCAGATGCCATGCAGATCCAAGATTTAGAAAACAAATGTAGATTTCTGCTTTTCTGAACTCCCAAGGTGCCTCTTTCATTCACTCAACAAATATTTAACAAACATCTACTGGGCACCAACCAGGCCCTGCACTTCCGGGCTCCTGTCTTCATGAGCCTTACGGCCCAGTGAGGGAAAAACCACAGACACATTTGCTCACCAACTGCGCCCTGAAAGAAGAACCCAGGGGTACATGGCATTACGGTGACATAGGATGGAGAGGCAGTGACCTGGTCCGGGATGTGAAGGAAGAAGAGTTCCTGAAGAGTGGCCTGTGACCTAAGGGGTAGGGAATTCCCTGGAAGAGTAAACGGTCTGTGTAAAGACTCTGAGTCCAGAGAGAACATGCCAAGTTGAAGGGATGGGACAAAACAAAGGGTCAGTGTGGCTGGCCCATCAGCATCCAGGGGAGTGGGGGCGGGTAGGCAGTGAGAGAAGCCGAAGGCTGGAAAGGTAGGCAGGGTACAGCTCCAGCCTGCAGGCCTTGGAAGCTAAGGTGCTCGACCTCTATCCAGGGAGCAGTGGGAAGCCATTAGCTTAAATGGCTTTATTGCACCATTCTGCTTCAGTTCCCTGGCCTGAAAGAAAATGGCAACATCAACCTTGTGAAATAACCTGGGAGTGAGTCAATTTAAATCAAGAGGAATTTACTGAGTACTTTACGCGCAATGAACTGGAAGGAACACAGACTTACCAAATGCATTTCCACACTACAGGAGGGTGAGGAGTAAAGCTTTCCAAGGCCAAATAGGCAAAGCACTGTCAAGTGGGGTACAGAGGGCTATGGGTGCTTAGGGAGCAATTGGGAAGCAAGAGGTACTTCTGAGCTGGGCCTTTCTTGAAGAAAAGTAGATCAATAGCTAGAGATGGGGCAGGTGTAAGAAGGTTCCCGTGTGGGATTTTTTTTTAAGGTAGAGAGGATAATACTGTAGATAAAGCTCAAGAGGTTGAGGCCTCTTCACCAAGGGCTTTGCGTGCCAAGCTCACCCAGAGCAGACATGGTGGAAGACCCTGAGGATCTGGGGTGAGGATTGCAAGATCTCATCCATTCTGGGACCTGGGACCACCAAACTGGCAGGGAGGGAGGACAAGGAGATGGAGAACCCCTGGAGAGCGCCTGGATGTGGGCCACTGCCAGAATCCAGGCAGGTGGCAAAGAGGGCCTGACCACCAGTGGCGGTTAGTGTGGGAAGCAGGGCGCAAGAGACTGGATGAGAGCTGAGGAACAGGAATGTTTGTGAGTTTGAGGCCAAGAGGATGAACGTGATGTTGCAGTGTGCCAGTGAGGCCAGAGAAGGTAGTGGCTAAAAGAGCTGGATTTTGAAGACAATGTGAAAAGGCTCTCTGGTGGAGAAATTGAGCTGGAAGTTGGAAATGGAAGTTTGAAGTTTCAGAGACTTAACATGGAGCTCTATGAGCCAAGGACTTGGAGGTGAGGTGCAAAGATGCGATGTAAGCGTTCCTGAGCACAAAATGCAAGAACTCCCTGGCCAGGTAGCCCAGTTGGTTAGAACATCCTCCAGATACACCAAGGTTGCAGGTTCAGTCTCTGATCAGAGCACATACAAGCAGCAACCAGTAAATGCATCAATAAGTGGAACAACCAACCAATGTTTCTCTCTCCCCCTCTAAAATCAATCAATAAATTTTTTTAAATGCAAAAATTCCTTGCATAAAAGGACTCCTCCAAAGCCATCCTGAAACTGGAATTCCCTAAAATCAGCCAAGGGTCCGGGTCACCTGGGTTCATTTTTCACTTCTTAATCTGCAGATCAGACACCCGCACAGAACCAGGGCTGCAGCAGCAGCAGCCGAGCTAGGCGCCGGGCCAGTCCCTGCTGGCACTTACTGGCCAGCCTCTGCTTACTTCACATAGAAACCATCTTCCGGATGTGAAATTAAGTGGCTCAACAGAACCAAGGAACTAAAACCCACCAACTCACAGAAAGAGGGTTCAGCCTGATTCTCCTGCAGTCCCCTCCAGAGTGTCGACCACCTGGGGAAGGCTCACCCGCCTCATCTTTACCCACGTGCTCAGATCACTGGGTTGGACACCACCCATAATTCGAGGAGATGAAGGTGCCAATCTCGTGGTATGGGTAACAATCTCGGTAAAGCCTGACTCTGTAAGGCTGAACGGTAAGAAACTGAACGGTAAGGAACTAATTTAGCGAGGGCCTCGTAATCTCTTATACTTAAAACAGACGTGATTACCATGG